CTTTTACAGCCAGACTAACATCATGAAGGAGCCAAAGATGGACCAGATTGGCATAAGCCACTCTGGCTTTCACTATACGTGCATTGACCTCATCACTCACGCCACCACAAGCACTTATGCAGCTACCCAGATACACGAACTTCTCGACTACTTCTATCTGCTCACCATCCAGGGTGAGTACAGGATTGGAATCCTGCCAGTCTTGTAAAAGTACTTTGCACTTCGAAGGTGCAAAGCACATACCATACCTACGGACACTGATTGCCAACTGATTAAGTGCGGATTGCATGCCTTGGGTATTATCGCACAGTAAGACAATATCGTCCGCATACTCAAGGTCGAGAAGTCTTTCTCCATGCAACAGATCCACACCGCCATTACTTACATCCATCAGAGCTGTTTCCAGAATAACATCGATGGCAAAGTTGAAGAGGAATGATGAGATTGGGCAACCCTACCTAACCCCATTGCTCGGATTGAACAATGGAGAAAGGTGGTTGTATGCCCTCACTCTGCCTGAGGTGTTTGTATATAGGGCTTTTAGGATGTTGATAAACTTCTCAGTCACACCCTTCTTCAATAGACAGTCCCAGAGAACAGTCCTATCCAACGAATCGAAGGCGGCTCTAATGTCAAGAAACACTACGATTGTTGGCCTTTGATAAGTATGACGGAATTCTAACATTTGGCGGAGGGTGAACATATGTTCAATACATCCTCGACCAGAACAAAAGCCAGCCTGCTCCTCGCGAGTCAATCTTTCTCGGGTTTTGAACAAACTACGAAGTATGACGGCAGCCAATAGCTTGGACGCAATCGAAAGTAGACTTACCTCTGATAGTTCTTGTGTAGATGACGTGAACCCTTTTCAAAGATAGGGATAACTGTCGACTCATTCCATGACGTTGGTACACTCTCCAGCTCCCACACTTTTGTAAACAGCGTCGTCAGTTCCCTAGTCAGAAAGTCACCACCATCTTAAAAAAGAGCCGGAGGTAAGTCATCTGGGTCACGTGATTTGTAACGCTTCAAGAGTTGGAGTTCCTTGCGGACTTCCTCCTCGTTTGGTGGATCAGTCGTCACCGGCCATGGAGGGCAGGACAGTCTGACCGATGTTGCCGCAGCAGCAGGCCAGTTGAACTGCCCTTCGAAGAATTCTGCCCATCGTCCAAGACGTAAATGGATGTTAGTGATTTGCATACCGTCATCTTCACAGATTGTTTCGCTCACATCAGACTTCTTGCTACCATTAGCCGGGATGAGTTGGAAGAGCTTCCGGTATTTACCAGATGCAGCTGCTGCTTCCAGCTCATTAGCACGCTCCGACCACCAGGCCTCTCGGTCCTTACGCAAGCTTTGCCCAATTTCCTTACGTAACATCCTTCGTTTGTGGTCAAACTCACGGTCACCCGGAGTAGACAGACGGGCTTCGATGAGTTGTAAAGAGCCTGAAGAAACCCAGTGCTTATAAGCGGGACGTTTCGCGAACCCACAACTGACTGTACCCGCCATTTTCATGGCGTCATGCAATTGCAACCAATGCTCATCTATACTTTTCAGTGGAATGGTAGCTAGCCTAGAAACTAGCTCAGTTCGATACTTACTTGCAACCAACTTGCTGACATCAATCCGTTGGTGGTGGTCACTTCGTTGGCCACTGAAAAGTAAGGTAAGTTACTTATGAAAAAATATTGCTCTCGGCATCGTAATAGTTAAAAGGCTGATGTATTATAGATAACAATTGTATAGTAGATTTTTTCTTAAACAAAATTACAAATAAATGTTTCAGAAGCTCGGGTTTCGTCATTCGGATGACTACTGCTTCAGCCGTTTGCAGGACTTTAAGTCTGACAAGCTTTGGTAAAAAATTACTGACCGGACAAATAATTGAGAAGGATTGGCTTATACTGGTACCATGACCAGTTTGTACTAAATGGGCTAATATTGAGCTGTTCACTTCCCTCACCAAACCTTTGCTTAGAAAAGCTAAGAGGTGTTCATGAGCGCGATAATGTAAATTCCTGCAACCTCGACCAATAAAACTTGTTCCACAGAAGCAGTCGGACTGATAAACACAAAATGAGGTGGTCATTCTCGGTAGTTCATCTTTTAGCCTCGGTGTCACCATTGGGCGCGTAAAAAACACTAGTCGTAGTTCTCCGGCGTTGAAAGATTTTTGTATTGTCCTATGTAATCTCTGAGTTAATATTTCACTAGCCGCATCCCCTCTGAATTGTAGGCGCATGAATAGTGAATTCTTCACCGTTTGTATTTCCCCTATATATATAAACTTACTAGGGTAAACGTTCTTCCTAAAAGTATTACGCAAGGTGTTCATCTCATCTACAACTATATTCGCAGAACATTTAGTGCGCATTTGGTAACCAAGGTTTTTGATCAAATTTCGTTTGTACTGTGGAGGATTATTAATTTTGATATATGAATTTATCGAAAATGTTGATCTTTTAATAACAATCATCTAATCCAGGAAGATTGCACACTGCCACATGTGAAATGAACATTAAGTACAATGGGTAATATAAAACGTTTTACGAATTAACAACTTACCGCTATATTTTGGCGATAATTTGTGAAGCCGGCTGGAGATATTTAAGTGCTAATATTAAGATCACTCGGTAAATAAACATCTTAAAACATAAATATACGCAATTGCAGATCAAAATTATATCATTCTTATATTTTTGTTAGATCGCTACCTGTACTTTATCTTTTACGTCGTACAAGAAAGCCTGGTTGTCGGCATTTATCGCTTGTGTTAGTTCTTTTTTCGGACAGGCCAGACTTTGGAACCATGAACACAGGACATCTAACAAAAAAATGTTTACTGTAAACTTGACTTAGTGCGAATTGTTTCATAGAATCTGTAATTACTTATACTCATTTTGCTCTTAGTTCGATGTAAGGTATAAGTAATGACCAGTTTAGGTGACAACACGTAAGATAAACTATCCTCCGTGAACTTCCGAAGATCACCATGAATTTTGTCACCTTAAATTACACAAATAGCTGTCACAACATACGAATTGAAAACGGAATTTTAGTTTTTTAGATGTACCCAATACTTTTTGTGTTGTTAATGGGAATTCCAAAGTAAAAAATATATGCTGCAATCATTCCTGTCCTGCACAACGTTAGGCGAGCTTTTAATATAATAAAATTATTTTAATATAACCATTTACTTTATCGATTCTGATTCGTTTGTATATAAACCCAGTATGTTTGTAATATAAGACCCGTATCGCAGAGGCCGTGATTAGCGTTGTGGACTTAACAGGCAAGGACAACCGGAACTTTAGGATGCCCGTACTGGTGTATGCGTTATTAGATGATCGTACAACTCAGCGTATCTAAATTGACAAATGTATTTCGCAATAATCGTATAGCTAAGGATATAATACAAAGTATGTCATAGTGATCCACGCACACTCGTGTCTAACTACTGAACATTTAAATATACCCATACTGGTTAGTGTAGAGTGTAAACTTAACTACCACCCTCCTCTTCAACTTCGTGGAGCCAGGCTTGCCGTTTACAGTAATTATGAGGCCTATTATTAAAAAAAGTTGTTTCTCAGTAAGTAAAGGCTTTTTATGCAAAAACATAACTGACAAGAGACTCAGTGATATTCCCCAATTTCAGTACACTGTGAAAGTAAACTTTTTTCGGCAAATCGAAACAGCAAATTCACAGTCAAATTTTTTCATACGTGATTCAAAAAGAAAAACAGATCAAATATCAAATACCTTACTTAATGATATTGTCAACAAAGTGCTTTAAACTTTAAACATTGTAAATTAAGTGTATTAATATAGAAACTTTCGCATACCAATAAAATTATATTAATGTGCACACCGTCGGAAAATACTGTGTGCAACTTAGGGTGGTACATTACGTAAGTGAATAATCATAAACAAACAAAGAAAACATAAAATATACCGAAAAGCATTCTGCACTTTTATACTTCACACATCGACACAATTTGAAAACAAACAAATGATTTGATTAGTAGAGATAAATACAGAAATATGCATATATATATATACATAATAAAATCCTACACTCTCCTGGTTATCATTTGTTCCATATGCATCTTTTATAATGCAACCATAAAACAACAAGTAATGATCATCAAGAAATAATATGTAATGAGTGCAAATAATTAATCAGTTCAGTGATGCATAAGTTGTCATGTATCAGTATCAATAGAGAATATGATCATGACTAATTGATAATTAGATAAGATAGTCTGCCTCATTGTTTTAATTTCTTCAAAGTGGCGCATTCGACATACAAAATTAAGAACGAAACGATACATCTCATAATCGCAAAATTACAGAAGAGGATGTAAGATCAAAACAAAGGTTGAGTGTGAAACAGATAACAAAGACAAATCAAGCTTACAGGTAGTTGAAAAAGTGTGAGAGACATAACAAAGACAGACCAGGCTTACAGGTAGTTGTTAGACTGACATAGGGTAATATGAAAGTACCATGCCGTCCACTAATTAAAAGTTTCTTTCGAAAATTCACTCTACATTGGTTCGAACAAATGAACAGCGTGATGTAAAACGCCATTAACAACGAATCGGGTGCGTAAAAAATACTGGTTTGTAGTTGTCTTGAATCGAATTACATTGCATTTCTGTTTCATAATATGACAATAATCACAAGAGAAAAGGAGAACAACGCGAATCTAACTAAGAGAGATTATGTATGAATAGTTAGCACAAGGAGGATGGAGGCAGTGGCAACGGTTCTCTTAGACGCAATTTTCAGAGAAAAAATTAGGCAACATCAAGTAAGAAAACAAAGAGAGGCACAAACTTGACTAAAGAGGGAAGCACAATGACTACGCCTGTGTGTACGATTCGGATCACACAAAAAAAAGAATACTCATCGATCTGAACATGAGAAAAAAAGAGAAAAAACAACTCAAATACAAATATTAACATATATTACATAAGTCAGCTTCCCTACACTGGTAAACTAATGAGAAGAATATGCACGGTCATTCATGTGCGAACACAAAAATTAAAACAAGCGAAAAAATCAGGGCTGAGATTCAAAACGAAGGAAAACGGAGTGAACAGTCAAAATCATAAGAGATTCTATTGTCTGTTTGTGTGTAGTTGTGAATAGTAAATATCAACCGGATAATTAGAAAAGATGGTTGTGTCACCACAAACACAACGACCTACACACACACATTTGTATAGGATCGTGTTGGTGAATGTGGCGACCAGTCAGTCGATCGATAACGAGTAATTGTGAAAATAAATTAATTATACAGAATAATAAGCTCACAAACACACAGTCTCGCCCACTTGTATGTTTACTCTATGGAAGCATCCACGACAACAACTAGAGCAATATTATCCCAATATTAAACTAATTCACATGAACTATGTTTCTTTTTCTTTCCTTCGGGCATGAGTACTGCTCGAATAGCTTCGTCGAAGACATCTTTTAATCCAAACTGAGTTAAAGCAGAGCATTCCAGATACTTCACAGCTTTAATTTCTCTTGCCATTCTACAACCCTGAATAATAACAATGGTCAATAAAAAAAATAATCAAATGACAATTTAAAGCCTAAAATAACATCATACTGTCACTACTCATGGCAAAATTCTGCTAAGTGAAAAAAAACATTTACTGAATACTGAGAATATGTGCTGACAATTACGTATTGCGCTGAGTATATAACAAACAATAAAGTGCTTATAATTGTTAGTTATCTTGTAAAAAAAACACTAACTACTTTATACCCAGTCCAACCAAGTCCGTAACTGTCATTTATATATGTTACTAGGGATTAGATGTCGTGATGACTCAGTCGAGTTACGTCACTTAGAACACTGGTTTCTCTCAATTTTCATCATGCCAATCAGGTCGGTATAGGGGTGTGACGGAATAAGTTGTGTCTCAGAAAACCAGCATTTGGAGCGATGCTCCAATCCCACAGCAAAAGGAGGTCAGGAAGGATTGACCCTAAGAGTAACACATCTTACGGGTGATACACCACGAATCCCAATCGCGGACAGTAACACTTCTAAAACTACCTGAAGAAACTGTAACCAGACACTCATACAGATTGTTTCTGTACGCTGTGGTCATGCTTCCACATTGTCAAGACCATCATTAGTGCAGTTTAATTTACAGGTCTCTCAAGAAGTATCGTTCGACGATGTGGGAAACTGAGAGACAACAACTGTTCTCGTAAATCTAACACCACTTGTTTACAACAAAATTCCTCCATTTAGTTAACCTATCGGATAGTTATCGGCTGTTTTGTATCACTCACGATCAGACACTTCTGCGAATTCAGAAACTTCTCCTTCGAAGTAAAACAAACAGAAATTTGAAATTTGTGCTTCGGATATATTTCTAGTTCATGTACGCTTTCACCGACACAAAATCAAATGTTGAAGGAAAACTATTTAAATGCATACTAATTACTGAAACAATCAACAGCAGAACTACAAGCGGACAATCAATCTAATAGCACCTAATAGACAAAAAATCATAATATTATGTAGATAGTTACACAATGCAGAGTATCTCGGTCAAACCGAAAGACAAGTTCCTCTCGAGTTCACAATCTGACTGCATATGTTATGAATCTATATACAAAGAGCAAACCACGAACGAATCAACATCAGAAAAAGCCACCAAAGAACTTCACAGAACTCAAGAAATGTTCAATCACATTGTAATCTCAGGATACTGAGTCAATATTCAATGATGACCGACTTATTCACGAATACTTCAGAAAGTATAAAGAATAGCTTTCGGTGGAACCATTTTACAAAAATGGAATAGAAGTTGAGTGAGGAAGTAAATCGGTTCAAAATAGCTTCGACTTGACTTTTCACTACCTAATACGGTATACACACGTGTAACAAGGATTGCACAGCTATATATAGTGACAATTAAAGGAACGTGAAATTGTTGATCAACAAAATATGTAAAACCGAAAGCTACTATACAGAGTTGTGATTTGATAATTACACGAATTTGGAACACAGATCGCCCCTCTTGTAGCTTGATTTACTATCACCAAAAATATGAATGATGTGGTCATAATTGCAATGGAACAGTTTAAACTGATAGTCGTGAAGACATGATCCAACATTTGACAAAGCATATTAGTTAAGGTTAAGGGGGTACACTCGTCTAATCCTCATTGGACTTAGTTTCAAGGTAAAAAAACCCATCTTAATACAACAAGAAATGCTTTGAAGTCATAGTCAGACAGCCATTTGTAACGTGAAACCAGACACACGCATCGGCTCAAGTTTCCGAGCTAGCATAGAGCAATGAAACTAGCGAGTTAAATCCCAAGTTACACCAAATACGAGCAAATAAAACTAATACAGGGGAATAAGATCATTGTATGGCAGCTTAAAAGCAACTCGTTAGTTTCTGTTTAGTAATTTGCAGAAAAATGGTTGTGAAAAGCTTTAACAGCCATACTAAGGAAGTAGACTGTCAAACTACCACTTCAAACTACGCTTAAACAACCAAGAATGCTAACTTGCCTCGTATCGCGAAAAAGCAGAGTAGTTCTCTGACAGTGGTTATTTATGTGTGACCAGATGAGAGCATTTTGAGGAGAACGGACTCTTCACCTTGGCTTTAAACCATCACTTCAATACATGTGTAAGCGATCACGAATGTTTATCTTATTTCATGTGTCTAGCAACGAACTTAAAGACATGACATTCTAATCCTGTTCAAAAGTATACTTGGAGTATTACTCGATTATATACTTGCATTAAAATAATGATTGCAACCCTTCATATCAAGTATAGTTAATAAAACTATGTGAACTATTTGTGAAGTAGCAACTAACCTCCGAATAGGTTACGGGCAACGTAGTAGATTTTAGGCCGTTGGGACTATCTCGAAGGTCCCGTTTTGTTCCGACAAGAATAATGGGAGCATTTGGAACATGGGCGGATATCTCCGGATACCATTTACTACGGACATTCTCGAATGATGTGCGACTGACCAAAGAGAAGCACAACAAAAACACATCAGTTTGTGGATATGAGAGTGGTCGTAGTCTGTCATAATCCTCCTGACCTAAAGATAATATACGTGTTAATACAATCACGGACTTGAGAGTATTCAAATATATTTATACTTACCGGCTGTATCCCACAAACCAAGGTTCACAGGTTTCCGGTCAACCATTACGTTAGCAGAGTAGTTATCGAAAACGGTTGGAACGTACTCACCGGGAAAAGCATTTGTCGTGTAGCTGATGAGTAAACAGGTTTTTCCGACAGCTCCATCACCGACAACTACACATTTAATGGCTTGCATGAGTAGCAAGAAGTAAAAATGTAACGGTTCGTGTCTAGTTGACAGGTATTTTGTGTATTAGGGGAACATACAACGTAGTATGATTGAGGGCTGGAGGAGAGGAAAAATATGTAAGATAAGCCTATGATCCAGCAACCGACAACAAGCAGAAACAACACGAAAGTGAGATCAGTACAATCTGACAACTGAAAACCAGACAGTTTAGTCAAATATAGTTGCGCGTATATGCGCAAACCCAAACTAGAATTAGCGTCAGAGTAACGCCCCTAGGGGGTTGTGTGTAAACTCACGGCTAAATTAGCCGAAACTGCCCAAATAAATGTATTGACCCGACTAATCAATCAGTAATCATAAATCAAAAGTCCACCCTATCTTACCGTGTAACGCCGAAAACAGCTTAACACTCGCGGTCAATGTGATTGTGTCTGTTGAAACAAAATGTGCTACTTTGCCTGATCGTAGACTAAATGTCATCCGCAAACAGGTATTATCATTTCAACTTCAGCAGTCTTGAATAATAATTTCCAAAATGGGTTCATGACGAAGTTCTCATGCTCCACATCGCATCTAAATGATTTTAAATTGTTCTGGATGGAATGGAAACCAAACACTTCATTTCCACACTTTAAATGGTGCCGAATAAAGTTGTTGAAGACTAGCTGGAGAGTTTTACCGTCGAGCTGGTCAAAAATGCACTTTCAACATCGCCAGTGCAAGGTCTGTTCGAAGGGTGTTTTTGTCTCGGTCGGAGTAAGAGGGACGGGGTTACCTAGGTCATGTTCGTAGTCTGCAACATGTATAAGATAGACTTCTTTACACTTTGAGAGTTAAATGTAGGTCCGTAGTTGTCTGCTCAACTCTGACGTCGGGTCAGATCCTCCTGACATCCCAGCTCATCATCTTGGTTGCAAACATCTTTCCAGAGCTTTACATCATCAGTAAAGACAATAAATTCAGCGATACCTGCTGAGGAAGGTCGTTTATACAAACTTAGAAAAAAGAGGCCTTAGTACTGAACCATGAGAGACTCCACTAGGACATTCTACGGCCTGAGAAAAAGTGAAGTTTACCCCAACCTTAAGAAGTCGATCATTTAAATGTGAAGTAAGCCAACCAATTAAGGGTGATTTGATACCTAACCGTTTGAGCTTATTGATTATACATGTTTATCAGAAGATTCTGAGAAGTCAAGGTGTATGATGTCAATCTTTCCCCTGCGATCAAGGATGTTTGTCCATCTGTCCATCACAGTCAGCAGGTTGACTATGCAAAAATGACCCTTCGTGAAGCTGTGCTGTTGGGGTGAAAAGAAGTTTATGGGTAGTAAATAGTCACGTGGACCATCGCATATCGGAGACTTCGTATATTTTGACGGTATAGTGAGAAGCGCTATTGGCCGGTCACGCGAAAATTCGCCACGTCAACCTCCTTTAAAATTGGCGTAATGTGAGCCAGCTTTAATTTTCTGGTACCATGCCTCGGCTTGCGAATGTGAGAACATCACGCCGGATGGTTTTGTCAAGATTAAGCTGCTTCTTTTAGTATAACCAAATGGACCGTATTCGGAATGGAAGAAGTGCCATTGTTTAGATACTGCAGTTTCTGATACACTCAGTCACTGCTCAGCCTCAATCCTAAAAGTCCTGCTGAGTTGCAGGTGAAGCGCACGGTCATGTAGCTGGTATGGGATAGCTGAAGTGTCTGAAAGTACTGTTATGCCGGAAAATCGGTGGCGTCACTGTCACTGTCGATAGGGCCATTAGGACCTAGCAGTTGAGGAACTCTGGTTTTGGCTTGTCGAAGAGAAACTGCATAGTGGAATAAGCTTTCTGGATTGGAAACATATTTATCGGTTAGTTTTATCTGATACTGAAGCCTGTCTTCTCTTATTGCTGTTCTGCAGTGGATCCATGTTCGTTTGAACGGTCTGTATGTCCGTCTCTTGCTATTTCATTAATATTGCATCCGGTAATGCCATTTGCGTTTTAGCATCCGAAGGGTGCGATTCTCGATAACTGCTGGTTGGGGAACGTTTGCGGGACAGACTTAAGATCGTATGTAGCGAGAAATCTCAATGAGCGTCCATATTAAGTTGAGGGTAGGCTTACCAGTCCACCAGCGGTAGCTTGATCTGTAAAGCTAACACAGTCAACCGTTTGTAATTTCAACGCCTGTTGTAGTATGATATTTTATCCCAGTTTTGCTAGTAGAGTTTAAGGCTGTGAAAGAATGATTACTTTTACCCAGGAGAGCCTGGATTGAGAGGTTGTCAACTAAGAATCTTTTGTTCGTAAATATTCTCTCTAAGCATGAGGGAGTCTGACTTTGCCTCTGGCGGGTTGTTAGCTTCACATTTCTGAATAATTACAATTGTTCAATGAGACTGATGAACCAAGCCTCAATAGAGTTGTCACCTCGAATCTACATGTCTTCAGTGAAGTTGACTTTAGGAAGATTGAAGTTTTCTAAAATCAGGATATGAGTGTATCCAAGACGAGTAGAGATGAATAATACCTCCATCACACGATTGTCATTCTCAGTGTCACCAGTGAGATCGAGGTGTTGGACGATCTTACTGAGCATCATACAGATTCATACAGAGTGAATAACTCTTGGGCGTACAATTGGTGAGCTATCAAGCAAAGTCATAGGTACAGGGATACTCCGCTCCTTCCAATCCCTGTTTTTATGTCTTTGTAAAGCAAAGACATGCAGGATTCGTGATTTGAGATGTCATTGTACCAGATATTCTTATCATATGACTATTATTAGTATCATTTAGTTCAATTAATCTAACCCTTTTGTTTGGTAAACACATGGCTTTCGTATTGAAATAGTTTATGATCTTTATTTGAAACTCATGAGCTCCCTCGTCCTGTTTATTTGAATGAGACTCATGTGAATGGACAGGAAACTTACATATACAGGGTTTTCCAAGTTAGTAGCCCCCGCCGTTTTGCTCTTTTTCCTTGTCCTTGTCAGTCCGTAAGTGGAATAATCAGTCCCAATTCGTTTTTTTGCTTGATCCTTGCACCATGTGGCCTACTCATATGGATGTGGATTCCAGTTGGTAACCGACGTCTCTTGACAAGAAACTCTTCGAGAGTGGCAGACACCATCATTTATTTATTTATTTGAAGACATAGATATTGGTACAAGGTTGCACTAAATGCATATGCGCCACAAAAATCTCATTTGCTTTGTGCGAGGGCTGTGATATTGCCTAGGTGTCCAAACCGGAGCAAGTAGCAGACACCATTTGGGAGGATAGAAGGGTCATCTTCATCAGCTGTGGTCTAGGATCCCCGCCCTTCTTGGTTATTCGCACCACTTGGTGAGTCAGTATGTTCTTGAGCTTCAGGAACTTCCTCATGAATTTCAGTTGTATAATACCAGTGTCCGTATTTCTGAGATATCTTGCATAATGATATTTCTTCCGCGAAAGAACATCTCGTCTGATTCCTTAGGTATGTTCCTTGTGAGATTGCACTCAGAATATGCTATGTTGAGTAGTGTTCTTACATTCCCTTCTGATTTCAGCAGGTGGCTGGCCAGCTGAACATCCTCTGCATCAGCAGTGTCGGTGAACGTTCCACAAAGGAGTTTTGGATGAATTTAATGCTCGGAATCCTTCCCACTGGTAAGCCGTGTAACCGTTAGCGGTTCAATTTTAGGACGCTTGAGTTTTCTGTTCAACTCTTCCCGGAGCATTCTATCATTTTTGTTCTGCAGAGTGAGAGGAAGGTCAGAGCTGCAATTGAAGTTCATGATTATGAGAGATCCATCACGAACCGTGATCGTTTTCCCAGGTTTTTGGCTACGTTAAGGTTTGAGTCTTTTTTCTCTGGCAGTTGAATTGCACTTTGGACTCCTATGCTCATTGCTGACTGGTTGAACAATCTCAGGGGTAGATTTCACAATCAGGTGGCTAGCTGATTTTCACACAAGACCTGGACTGTTCAGCATTTTTGACGGGAAACTCGATCGGACACTCGAAATATGAGTTGTTGGATACATCCTAGAAAAAGTTTATGACCGTAAACGAACAAACTATTCTCAAGACGGTTAAAAACGGGAGACACAAAAGATTGAGATATGTTAAAATTAGCCTCTCCATGAAAATCTATAAAGACTGAATAATAAGCTGGGACAAGTCTTTGATCGAATTACTCAGCGAAAAGATTTTGGTCAATCAGTGATTATTTTATACTTCGACTTTGGTAGGGCCTTCATTAGCGTCTCACACAACTCCCTTCTCCTAAAGCTTTCCCCGCTTGGTATACGGGATCCTCTACTATCCTGGTTGAAACATTTCACAACAGAATTTATCCAGATCATTCGATCTGGATCTAACTACTCTTAACTCATAAATGTTACCAGTGACGTTATACGAGGAAGTTTAATTAGCCGATTACTCCTGCTCCTCTTCATTAATGATGTTTGATTAAATTTTCAGTTCGATCAGCCTTTCTTTTTTTGCTAGTGTCTAAAAGTGGTTTATTCATTTTCACCTCCTACCAAAGAAAGTCATATTCAACGGTACTCGAAGGAGACATATGCAAGCGATATGAATGAACTGTGTGGTATAATGTTTCGCTGAATTTTCATGAAAGCTGATTGATCTACTTTGTTCTCTGTATTAACGTAAATCTGGTCCGAAACAAACGCATATTAAAACTTATTGACATTGTTTGTTACTTGGGTGTAGTAACAATATAAACATTTTCGAGCACATTACATTTCAAGTATCCAAAGCATACAAGCTCCGAGGACTCATAACGACAGGTTTAAATGACACCGAATATAGATTATTATGATTATGTAAAAATCTATTTTACCTTTAAACTAGTTGTAATCATAATGATTTGATAGAAACCGAAGGTCTTCGAAGAAGATTTCATTAGGCTCTGTCAGGATAAATCAACAGTAAGGATCACCATTAAAAATGTAAACAACTAAGGTAAAAACATCTCTGAACCAGACGCATTAAATCAAACCTT